GGTACTGGGGCTCACCCCTATCCCCCCCCCCAGCTACTGGGGCTCACCCCTCTCCTAGGTACTGGGGCTCCCCCTGCCCGCCACCCCCACCTAGATACTGGGGCTCCCCGCCCCTGAGGCTCAGCCCCAGCCGTCCCGGAGCCGGCCTCCCGCGAGGCCCCCGGCGTTACGTGACCGAGGGAAGCCACACGCCCCTCCCCACGGCGGCCGCAGCCCCGGTACCTGCGCGTCCCTCCGGGCCGCTCCAGCCCGGTCCCAACGCAGGCCGAGGCGCGGAGCCCCCGCCAGGGGAGCGCATCTGTCCGGACTACAACTCCCAGCAGGCATCGCCCCACCGGCAGGGGGGGACTTAGCCGGCTGAGCGCGCGCTGCATGCTGGGAATTGTAGTCCCATTGCACCATGGGAGATGTAGTCTCCCAAGGCCCACATCCCCAGTGGCAGTCTAGTGAGTAGGTTACACTTTGGGCGGGGGAGAGGCAGCAGGACTCCTGGGTTCTCCACCTGGCTCTGCCGTTGACCGAGTGGCCAAGTGGCATCATCTCCCTCCATGCCTCAGTTTCACCCATAGAATATAATTAATAATAGCATGAATCGTGTGTAGTTGCTAATACCAGTATGGGATCTGCCTTCCTTACCCTGTGAATTGTGTGTAATGTCCACCCCACCACACCCTAGTGCAAATATAAGAGTAATATATTACCTCCCCCACCTTGTCTCTTAGATCGTAACAACATTTTCCGGGGGGAAGGAAAAGCAATCAGCGGGTCGCAAGGCTTTGGAAATATTGTTACAATCTAAGGCAGTGGTCTCCAAAGTGGGGTGCACGCACCCCAGGGGGTGCACAAGAGGATCCTTTGGGGTGCCCGGCAGGAGGAGCGCCGCTGGAGCAGTGCCGCTTCGGCAGTTCGGGCGGCTTTTTTTTTTTTCCCCCGGCAGTTTGGGCAGGAGTCTGGGTGCTTTTTTTATTTTTTTTTGCTTAGGGCGGCAAAAATGGTAGAGCTGGCCCTGCGGCACGGCAGGGAGTGTGTGCTCAACAAATTTTTACTGATAGGGGTGCGCAATCAAAAAAGTTTGGAGACCACTAATCTAAGAGACAAGGTGGGGGAGGCAATATCTTTTATTGGACCAGCTTCTGTTGGTGAGAGAGACAAGCTTTCAAGCTACACACAGAGCTTTGCTCAGGTTTTTTTCGGGAGCACACCCCCAGCTCTCTGGCAGCCAGCCTCACCCGAGACCTCACCTGAAGACCTGATGGAGAGCTCTGTATAGCTCGAAGCTTGTCTCTTTCACCAACAGAAGTTGGTCCAGTAAAAGATGTTACCTCACCCACCTTGTCTCTCTCATATGCTAGGACCAACACTGCAAATTACTATCTAAATCTCCCCCACTCCTGGCACACCCTGACCCTTCAAGGTCAAGCACCCTCTGTCAACCTCTCAAAACACACTGTCATAAATGAAGGGGGAGGGGGAATAGCTTCCTTTTATGGACACCCAGCCAGCCAGTTAGCTATAAAATCCCTCTTAGTAGCTGTTCTCTACTTGCTTTACCTGTCAAGGGTTAAAAAGTTTTGTTGCTATGCATAGGTCAAAGGAAGTGAATAGGCATCTGGCCAAAAGAGCCAATGGGAAGGCTAGAACTTTTTAAAATTGAAACAAAGACTCCCCTTTTGTCTGTCTGTTGTTATTCTCTGGGGAGAGGCAAACAGAGCAGAGATTATTCTGTAAGAAGCTTGGGGCCAGGTATGAAAAAATCATCAGAATCATACCTAGAAACTACTCATTTACAACCCCAGATATGTAGGTAGATCAGGAAATGTCTAGGAAGACGCAATTAGGTTTATCTCTTCTTTTTTTTATGGCTTGTGGACTCCTCTGTGCTAACCCCATGTGCTTTTGTTTTGCTTGTAACCTTTAAGCTGGACCTCAAGAAAGTTATTCTTGATGCTTAATTCTTGTAAGTGGTTGTTTTTTTAATCTAGCAATAGCCTGAGTTTTCAGATGTATTTTCTTTCTTTTTGCTTTTAATAAAATGTACCTTTTTTAAAAACAGGATTGAATTTTTGTGTCCTAAGAGGTTTGTGCACATGTTGTTTAATTAGCTGGTGGCAAGAGCTGATTTCCTTTGTTTTTGTTTTTTAGCTGTAACCTTGGGAGTTTATTACAAGCCTGGAACAGCCAGTGTTAATTTTTAGAATTATTGTACTCAAAGTGCGGAATCAGCCTACACACACACACACACACACACTATTGTATATGGTGTTAGCACTGTGATCCCGGACACATTTTTAACTCTTACTTTTATAGCACTGAGGCTATAGTTGAGGCTGAATGACATATTTGCCAACATGCCTGGTAAGGAGAGAGAACAGTATAGGAATGGGGGAAGGGAAGAAGAAGGACACAGAAAGAAACCCACACTGGAGAAAAGAAAGTATAAGGGAGTCTGTATCCCAGCGTGAAGTGCTGAAGCAGTTCAAAGAGGAATTAATTCAGGGAAGTCCCATGGACTGAGCTATGCAGGAGGGCAGACCAGATGATCACAATGGTCCCTTCTAACCCTAGAACCATGGAAAGCAAATGTCAGGAAGTTGGAAAAACATTGGATGTTGAATAAAGGATCCCCGGTGTGAAAAAGTAGAGAAACATTGTTTCACCGTATTCGTTATACATGAGAACCCAGCGATGCAGTTCCTGTTGGAGGACTTTACTTCTTCAGATGCATAGAGTGAAGGTTACAGATGCGGGCATTATATACTGACACATGGAGAGCCATGTCAGTATATAATGCCTGCATCTGTAACTTTCACTCTATGCATCTGAAGAAGTGAGGTTTTTACCCACGAAAGCTTAAGCCCAAATAAATCTGTTAGTCTTTCAGGTGCCACCAGACTCCTTGTTGTTTTTGTAGATACAGGTAACACGGCTGCCCCCTGATACTTGTTGGAGGACTGGATTGAGTGGGGATAGCCTATGTTGTGTCCTCTTAGCAGGACTAATGTGGGCATATAACATGGGAACTACACTAAATGGAATCTCAGCCCTTTCCCACTTTGCCCACTGCCTCTGTCCGACAATGCTGAGCTTGGGGTCCATGATCCACCATATTTCCACGTGCAGTTTTCTCCCACCTGGCAGGCCCATAGGATGGGGGCAGGGAAGCCAGCTGGCAGTTTTATAAATTATTATCTATTCATTCATCTCGCTACTCGTAATTAAACCTTAAATTACTTCTTGATTAAAAAGCAGCGGCCATCAATAGTCAGGAGCTCATCAGCCTGAAAAAAGCAGGGAACTCAACAACAATAAGGTGCAACGTGACAAATAACACAAGCCATAGGAGTTCACTCATCCATTTGGCAGTGTGTATACACACACACACACACACACACACACATACACTCCTTTGCACAAACATAAATGCACTACACACTATGCGCTATCCCTTAGATAACACACACGGAATATATGTGTACACACACAACCCCACGATGACTCACTGTTCTGCATGCACATCTTTACGCATAATAGATGAACCCAAGCTGCAAAATTTGGATCCGGATCCAGCTTCTGAATTCTCTAAGTTTGGGTCTATTTGGGTCCAGGGTTTTGTCTTGGCCTGCTATCAAAAGAGGGAACAGATGCAAAATTTGGATCTGGTTCCAGTTTCCGAACTCTTTCCCCAGGGTTTTGTCTGTCTGTTTTGTGGTGGGAAAGGATGCTCAGAGCTAGGGACTTGGTTCTAGCCCATCTATAATTACTGCGCCCCCAGCTGTGTGCTGGCAGATTCCGGGTGGCAATACTGCAGAGGAAGAAAGAGGCAAATGACAGAAACTCTTTTTGTGTCATGCAGCTCAAGCCTTAGACCTTTTTATTGCCCTAAGCAAGCAGGGCCGGCTCTTGCGTTTTTGCCGCCCCAAGCACACACACACATGCAAAAAAAAAAAAAAAAAGACCGTGATCGTGATCGGCGGCAATTCGGCAGCAGAGGGAGGGAGTGACGGCCCCCCTGCCAAATTGCCTCCGAAGGGCCGGAAGTGCCCCCACCTCTTCATTGGCCGCCCCAAGCACCGCTTGCTAGGCTGGTGCCTGGAGCCGGCCCTGTAAGCAAGGATAGCTCCCAGTACCACATATGGGCCAGAACGAGAGCAGAGCCTGAGAGTACCCAGCCCCCTTGGCATTTCATGTGGCTACTTGTTTCCAGTTCCCTAGTGAGGGCACTTAAGGTTGTGTCAGTGGTGGAAAGAGGCCTTGGGAAAGGGGAAAGGAGCCCTATTTGGGAGGAGGAGGATCTCTCGGACCTCCTAGGGTGATGTCGACTTGAGACACGAGTGTCATTTGCAGAAATGGTCAGATCCAGACAGGAGCATTTGCTTGGGGTTGCAGTGTCGAGCAGAAATACAGTCAAACGTTAAGACATTTACTCTGTATGATGCATCTCCAGTGAGGCACGGGAAACAAACTGAGAGTGCAAGGAACAAGCAGTTTGCTGGTAGCTCTCAGGCAGCCTTTCCCTTGGAGATTTCAGCCCAGCTCCCAGCTACTCTCCCACCTCCATTTATAAGTTTATGGAACAAAGATGTAACAACAACAAAAAGCTGGACGCACGGCAGGGTCAGCGGAGACACACTGCCTGCCAAGGTGGGAGGAGATCTCCAAGTCCTTAGCAGCAGCTCCTCTGGCTGATAAAAGAGCAGCGTCGATCACAAGGCTCAGTCATTCCCTCTTTGTATACCTCTCATTTAGGGTGGCTGCTGCATCACTTGGAGGCTATTCAGAATGCAGCAGTGTGTTTGCACGGTGGCTTGAGCTACCACTAGGATGTAATGAGCCAGCCGCTGCCCTCTACTGGTTGGAATGAGAACTGCTGATCTGTGTGTCAGAGGTTCTATACAGCTAGCAGCTAAGGGCAATTCTTCTTTATCTGAAATGTGCTTTTAGAGCCGTTCTGCCGTCTAGTTGACCTTGTTTTTAGGATATTGTTCCACCTAAACTTTCCTTTCCTCATTTCATCTCACTATTCCTTGGACCAACCTACATGATTCCTTTACACCTTTGAGATACGTGGAGACAACTACGTTCCCTCTTAGTGTTTAGTAACGCTGTACAGGTTCACACTTTTACTCTTTTCCCATAGCTAGAACTGGACCCCTTGATCTGAAGCTTTCCCCATGCTCCGTGGTGTCTACCCGTTCCCCACCAACACACCGGCTGGCATCATGGTGTACACCTATACCTCTACCACTCCATGCTAGGGGAAAACAAGGAGAACCACAGCTACACATAGACGGACCTGTGAAACGCACAGGCTCGGAACTACGTGTGTTTCATTTAATTTTGGACTGG